ACACCAAGTTTATGCAGCATCTATCCACATCTCAGCAAATCTAGTCACCTCTTTGCCTCTTTCCTCCACTGGGGGCAACAAATTAGTAGGTAGAAAGTAGGCTTATTTGAGACAGGAATTGAGCATGAAACTGGATTTTTCAGACACAGATAATAAAAGTTCTAGCTTTGAGGTGTGTCCACCCAACACTTCCATTACCATGAATGGTAATGCAAAAGCTCTAGGAGCTAGAAATTACGGACCTAAATGTGGGAAGTTTGACACACCCCTAACTCTTGCTTTTTCAAATGCAGTCTTCTTAATGCTTACTCTTCACTCAGACATTTTACTATCACATCCAATGTGGCTTGAACAATGTTGTTCCTGCACACTTAATTTACTATTGTATACGCCTGAAGGCACCAGTTTTTCTTTTCCTTTTTACTGTTACTGAATACATGACATGTACAGTGAAGGAAATAAGTATTTGATTCCCTGCTGATTTTGAATGTTTGCCCACTCACAAAAAAATGATCAGTCTAAAAATCGATTGGTAGGTGTATTGTAACAGAATAGCAATAAAAAATTCAAAAGAATGCATGTCTAACAAATTATGCACTGATTTGCATGTTCATGAGGGAAATAAGTATTTGATCCCCTATCATTCAGCAGGACTTCTGGCTACTAGTTGTCTTTCATGCAGGTAACAAGCTGAGATTAAAAGCAGTCTCTTAAAGGGAGTGCTGCTAATCTCATTTTGTTACCTGTATAAAAGACACCTGTGCACAGAAGCAATCAAATAATCAGATTCCAAACTCTCCACCATGGCAAAGATCAAAGAGCTGTCCAAAGATGTCAGGGACAAGATTGTAGACCTACACAAGGCTGGACTGGGCTACCAAACTATCGCCAAGCAGCTTGGTGAGAAGGTGACAACAGTTGGTGCAATCACTAATAGTCTAATAACAGTCCAAATCCAAAATTTGAACCTGTATCCACCACTGTGCAGTAAAATACTGTGCGAACCTCCTTGCACCAGAATGACAAGAGTGCGAGTTCACCACAAAGATTTGCAGGCAAATCACCTATACACCAAGTGTATGCAGGCATTATTCCATAACTCAGCAGGTCTCCTTCACTGGGGAAAGTACTCTGCTCTTGCACTCATACACTACCACATGACACTTATTTAGACCCAGTGACACTATCACTGTGTTTGTGTGCAATTCAGACAGATTGTGGCTCGGAAGCAGAGAGTTGGCTTATTTCAGCCAGAAATGATAAATTAAAGAATGACACTGTATCAAAACTGTATGGATTCTCTAAACAGAATCTCATCCTTTTGGAGTTTTGGAGGCAGATTTTTTTCTGTTTTCCTGACACCAAATAAAAACATTATACAGATTTGTCGCACAGAGTCTAATTATTTTCCAAAGGAGGAAATTCAAGAGGTAGAGAGCAGGCAGACGTCATCTTTAATTGGATTTTTTTATCCACAGAGATTTTAATAATGTTTCATAGGCTACAAGTTTCAAAGATACAGAGTTAGAACTGCATACAATAGTGTGTATCCCAGAAAAGTGGGATTTACAAGAGCAATTAAAGTATTACTAAACCCAGAACCCTACATTCACTATATCTGGTCTCCCATGGTACACACTACATGGAAAAGCAATTAATTTAGTAAATATAAATTACTAAATACCTTTTCTCATCAACAGTTAGAGCAGTCTTGTGACTTCTATCAGTGTCCAGCACAGCACATGTTAAAGCTTGTAGGAGGAGTTTTCTTTCTGCTCTAGAAGGATGCAAAATCCCTGATCTCTATCTGGACAGTGATGATTGGCTCTGTTCTGATCACATGCATGCTCCCAGGAAAAAAAAAAAAAAGTACCTTTCTATCAATACACACCAAACTGAGCATGTGCATATTGTCTCCATATGATATGTCTTATCAGGAGATAAGTGGGAGAAACTGGAGAAGGGAAGGATAAGAGAAGTCAGGATCAAACAGCATTTGTATACAATGCAGAGTATTAACCCTTTAGGTTCCACAGTGAATATAACAAGCATGCTTTACTGCATATACAAACTGATTTTCATTGTTGTGGGTTTAGTAACACTTTAAGTAGGCTCAAAAGATTAATACAAACAGAATTATGTAGCCTTGATCAAAACCAAAAAAACTTTCAATTAAGGAGCAGCATGCAGAAACATTAAGGGCCCTTTCAGATGGGGCAGACATACCAGCTCAGAGGGGGATCTCTCCACTGATCCCCGCTAAGCAAGCGAATCACAGATATATGTCCACTCTGCTGCTGCAGAGCAGACACAGACGCAGCCTGATTTTTCCTAATGGGAGGTTGGATGGAAATGGACCGCCTTTCGGTTACCACTCAACTGTCATCCGATTCACCAGATGGATGGAAAATGGATCCCCATCAGGGGAGGACTGACAACTCATGGGGCCCCCGAGCAATAAGGGATCAAGGGGCCCCTGTGTCCTAACCAACACTCAAAAAAGCCTATGAAACAGCCAATGAAAGGTACCAGGGGCATGTCATGGGGCCCCCTACTGACCCCGGGCCCTCGGGCAGTGCCCGAGTGTTCGAATGGTCAGTCCGCCCCTGATCCCCATCCGCCTGTTTTGGGTGTATTGGATCGGATGCCGGCAGGTGTCAGTGGACACTTGTCTGCTGACATCCGCCGGTCCATAGAGGTCTATGGATGGTCAGATCAGGTCCACATAAAAAACTGACAGGCTGACCCATTTGGACTGTCAGTGTGAAAGGAACCTAAGAAATGATTTTGAACTTCGGGAAACAGCAGTTGAAAACTTTGTCAAAACACTGTTACTCAACACAAATATTTATACAGAGCACAGAATACTATATATTCTGGAATTAAATGTTATTTTTTTGTAACAAAGAAACAACTGTGGAACAATTAAATGTGTCATTGTAACAGACTACAGAAATGGAGCCAGTATGATATAGTAATAATGGAAAGCCTACAGCAGTGGCAATAGATCATAATAGTGTCAGGCCAGCAGTGGTCTGGGGCAGGAGATGGCAATGGTGGTAGGATATGGTATGTATTTCAGGAATGGAGAGGTTTAAGCTATACAACAGAACAATATTTTGGGGGGGGGAAATCCAGAAGTAACATCTGCAGCAGAGGCTTTGTAGTTATTGCTGATCCAGGATTTATTGATTTTTAGAAAGGTTAGCAATTTAACTCTGTCTGGAGATAGAGGGATTCTTTTTTTCTGTAGTACAGCTCCCCACATAGTTACATGTTAATTCAGAAAGCATGCTGGTTGCATATTGGGCAAGCTCTGGCCAGTCGTCCATCCTGGTCACCTAAGGGGCTCATCTGTTGCAAGCATGTCAACATCTACCTTTGACCCTATGCCATCATATGATTCAGTTGCTGCCTATAGCTCCTGGCAGCAGAGAACCCTGCATACTGGGTACAGAACGATGTTTTGAAAGCTTTGTTTAGGCTGCCACCACTGCTCCTCCTTTCACTGAAAGGAGGCTGCAAGCCACATTGTCCATGAAATTGTGTTCCACCTGCCTCTGGAAAGGAGGTTGACAGGTACCTCTGCAGCACTCCTCCAGATGTTTCATATTTTGCCTCTGAGGATAAAATGAGGTCTGTGACTTATAACATTAATCCAGGAGGGTGGATAGCCAGTAACAGTTACTCTCCTTGATGCCATGAATCCTGAGGGGCTTTTGCAGGCACTGGAGAATTAAGAAGCCAATCCACAACACACTGAAGGCAGAGGAACCCAGGGACAACATTGTCCTCAGCTATCTACCCCTAACCACATTCAAGTCCTGGGGGTTAGTGAGGTTGAAAATCACCCCCAGAGGTCTGCTCTATGTTCTCCAACTTTTTAATGCAGCCATGGCAACCATACCCCTCCTTCTCCTCCTAGTGCTCTTCCTGTGCCTGCTGTGTCCTCTCAGGGAATGAGTCTTAATAAAGCAGGCCATCTTTTCCTTATTCTGCTGTGCTTCAAGTGCCAAGTTTGCAGATTCTGGATGTGTTAGACACTCCCAAAAATGTAATCATTGTAAACAGGGCGTGTGCAACAAGTCCAGTCCTTCTGCCCTGCTGCAAGGATCTCCCTTGTCCCAGTACTAAACAATTCAGCTCTTAGTAATCAATGTAGCATTGGCATGTACACAGAGAAAGTTCTGACAGCTGAAGCATTGCTCAAAAGAAACAATGTTTCATTTTGTATCTGTTCATTCATCAACAGATCAAAGGGATGAACTTCCATTTGCATTTGAAGTCAGATAAAGCACCCTGATAAGTAAAAATAAAACAAGTTTTTTTTTTAAATTAAATATTCCTCTTTTTAACCCCTTATCAACCCCTAGTTTACTAAAATCAACCCTTATTAACTCCTTATTCTCCTTTTCTGTTCAGTTATTATTTTCCTGCTGATTTTTTTTTTTGTTAGTTTCTATTTTATTACCTAATAATATTTAAACTTTTTTGTTTGTTTTGTTCATTAATAATTTTACACCTTTAACATATATTTACACATTTCACATTTAACCACCTCCCGCCCGCCATATAGTACAATGACGGGCGCAAGGTGGTTCTCTCATTCTGGGAGGATGTCATATCATGTTGTCCCATTCTAACCGCGTATGCGCGGCTCCGGGAGCGTGCAGCTTAGCAATCGGTGGTGTGCTGTGTCCCCGGGACACAGCAGATCACCGATCAACAGAAAGAGCCGAGGATGTCAGCTCGGTCACGTGATCAGCTGTGTCCAATCACAGCTGATCTCATGTAAATAGGGAAATGCCGGTTATCGGCATTTCTCTCCTCATGAGCTGTCACGCTGACAGCACGAGAGGAGAGAAGGTAATCGGCATCCCTCAGAGGGGACATGTGCACTGATCATCAGGGCACTGATGATCAGTGTGCCCTGATGATTTGTGTAGCCCCAGCAGTGCCAGCTGTCAGTGTCCATCAGTGCCAGCTGTCAGTGCTTATCCATGCCACCTGCCAGTGCCCATCAGTGCCACATCAATGCCACATATCAGTGCCTACCAGTGCACCTCAATGCCACATATCAGTGCCCATCTGAGCTGCCTTTCAGTGTCACCCATCAATGCCAGTCAGTGCCACCTATCAGTGCTGCCAATCAGTGCCACCTATCAGTGCTAGTCAGTGCCGCCTATCAGTGCCACCTATCAGTGTGCATCAGTGCCGCCTATCAGTGCCCGTCAGTGCTGCCTATCAGTGCCGCCTATTAGTGCCAGTCAGTGCCACCTATCAGTGTGCATCAGTGCCGCCTATCAGTGCCAGTCAGTGCCGCCTATCAGTGCCAGTCAGTGCCACCTATCAGTGCCACCTATCAGTGCTGCCTATCAGTGCCATATATGAGTGCTGTCTTTCAGTGCCCATCAGTGATGCCTGTCAATGCCCATCAGTGCCACCTACCAGTGCCTCCCCATCAGTGCCACCTATCAGTGTCCATCAGTGCAGCCTATCAGTGCCCATCACTGCAGCCTCATTAGAGCACATCAGTGAAGGAGACAAATCACTTATTTACAAAAAAGTTTAAAAAAAACTAAGAAAAAAGATTTTTTTTTTCAAAATTTTCAGTGGTTTTTGGTTTGTTTAAGAAAAAATAAAAAACCCAGAGGTGATTAAATACCACCAAAATAAAGCTCTATCTGTCTCAAAAAAAGATACAAATTTCATATGGGTACAGTGTTGCATGACCATGCAATTGTCATTCAAAGTGTGACAGTGCTGAAAGTTGGAAATTGGCCTGGGCAGGAAGGGGGTATAAGTGCCCTGTAGGCTAATGGTTAAAAAAGTACAAAATTAAAAGAGAAAAACTTTTTCATTTGGAAACAGCTTTGTAATTTTTTGTACCAGAATTATAATTTTTTGTGTAATTTTAAAAAGGACAAATTACAGAATAAAATGTGCAATTTTTATGTGCAGTAACATTATTTATTTTTAAACTAACACTGCTCAAAAAAGAAAAAGAAAATATATGTATTACTTTTTTTATCTTAAGTAATGACAAAGTTATCACCAAATAAAAAGGCCCATAGCAGAAATATAAAAATTGCTCTGGTCCATAGGGGGTGAACAGGTATGAGAGGTGAAGTGGTTAATATCTCATGTAGTGTTTGCTCTAACAGGAACAATAAAGAAATAGTGAAGTTTATGCTTGCATTGTTATGTTCATCATTCAGGTTGCTTCCTCAAATGTTGATAATATAGTGTATGTTCCCTGAATGAGAAGCCACTGATGTTGGAAAAAAAAAAACCTGTGTGCCAGGCAAAGACATTTCCTTGTTGTCACACACACATTTCCTAGCAAAAGATGCTGTGGGAGTCACTACTTCTAGGTCTGCTCCTGCAGAGCTGGCAGAATCTCTGTCTCCAGTCTTCTAGGCATATCAGCTATAAAACTATATGGCATCATTTTGACTGAGCTGTTGCATAGCTTCTTGAATGCTTGGAGGGACTGGTGGTCCTAAAGTCAACTCACCAGAAGAGGGAATAAAGGAGAGGATGGGGTGGAGGTGACATCGTTGCCAGATTTAAGGCAGTATAACTAGGTCCAGCAGCCCTGATTTGTGTCCTTGCTGGTGTCCGCAAAGTAAGCTGGTGAGCCATAAATTACATGTAACATTCTTGCCTATACTTTCTGGGCATGTGGACCTTGCAGCTGATGACCATGTGGAAATATTACCTTCCATGTGATGGTGGAGATCAGGGACAGCCTTATGGGCAGAAATGGTGATTTGGAACCTCCACTATGGTACAGAACAGGTCAGAGATTCATAGAAGGGGAAGACTCTTCCAGCTGTAACAGAAAGCCAGCACATTTTCCTGTTATTGAGATGCTGAGCATGGTGGTTGCTGGGGTTGCTTTTTTTTCATTCCAGCAGGTGAGGCAGAGAAATCTACTCAGGGTGAGGTTGGCACCCCATCTGATGTTGATTCTTTCTCCCTCCTTTACTATATCTGGTAGCCAAGTACAGTCAGAGACCTTATCAGCATCCACTCCTCATCACTGGATCCAATTTGGCAGAATATTGCAACTGCAGGAATATCAGTGCCAATTGGTTCTTTCTCCTGCTTTCCTCTCCCTCTCCTGCTGCTCTCCTGATCAACCTCAGTTGTGTTAATTGCTGTGCATCCTCTTACAACAAGTGATTGACATTGTGCTCAAAAATTGAGGTGACTCCTCCAAGCCAGTGTGTGGGGCCATGGCAGGAGTAACTGTGAATGGAAGGAAGTATGGGGAACCTTTCCAGTTAATGATGATTTCAAGCTACTTTGCACCTTTAAGACATAGGGGGGGTCTCATGAAGACTTGGTTAGGTACTTCACCACTTCTGCTCTGCATGTACTCTGCATAAAAACAATGATGCACATGCCCTGCCTCTTGATGCTGCACCCTGACTATTGCTTTGGCCTGTGGATACAGAAGCTGCTGTCCACCAGAACCTCTATCTATCCCTTTAGGCCCCCTAGACATGATGTTAATTTGAAGGTTATTCTCAAATTTATAAACAGCTATGGCAAGAGATTTTTGGGGTATGTAGAGGTTTATTGTGCTTGACACTGAGATGCTTTAGATCATAGGTGCTCAACCTGTGGCCCTCCTGTGGCTGTTGTGGAACCATCATGCCTCTGCCTTTGGGAATCATACTTGTAACTGTCTGCCTTGCAATGCCTCATGGGACTGCAACAGCTGAAGGGCCACTGTTTGGGCACCCATGTTTTAGAGGCCTAAACTGCACCACAATAAGATGCAGGGCTCCTATGCAAACAAGGGGCATTTTTGTGGTCTTACCAACCACTTCACACTGCTGCTGAACAAAAACACTAAACAAAAAAAAAACACCAACCCTATGCACTAAAATTAAACCCTTTTTTTGTAAAGTCAAATTATGAATGCAAGACAGGTTACATAGCACTCTCCCTAACCCCAGAAACTCTAAGTCACTGAAACCTCTCAGGTTCAACATACAGCACTGTATAGCTCTGCAGCGGCCCACCACACTAGCAAACTCTCTCTCTCTCTAAAAAAACTTAAAAACACTCTTCATTCACTCTCATTAAACTCCAACACACTGTCAAAGGGCTGCTGGGAAATCAAAATTTTATAGTGTGTGAATTATAAAAACACATATGAGTAGTGCACTATATTACTGAGCCTGATTATAGGTAGTGTTGTACCTTAAACGGTCCAATGACACATAGTCCATCTGAAAAATCTGGTCTTTATCAGCAGCCAACAATCCTGCTGCTCCTATAGAAGAAGTTCATCTTTAGGGGCATCAGGGGTTAACATAGAAAGCTCCAATGGTCCTTGCAGAAAGCAATATTAAACTATTCTGTTGCACCTTATGAGGATCCAGGTAAATCCAACTTGCATACACTACTATCTCTGCACCTTTTTGTTCTCTGCTTCTGATTTTATGAGTGGCCTGGAACTTTAACCAAAAACCATCATTGGCTACAGTCGTGCAGCTAATGAGAGATTTTTTGCAATGTATTGTGGGATGTTTGGCTAGGTGAGTCCTGCCAAACATCTTGAAAGTTTGGATTAACCACTTGACCCCAATGCCAATTCTGACACTTTTCACATGCATGTAAAAATGTCATGTGTCTGGGGGGCCATGTTGTTGTTTTAAAGAATGTGGCTTATAGTAACACACCATTTCACATATACAAAGTACATATACAGAAAATATGGACTTCAAACAGTTTCCACACTTTTATATATATAATAGAATTTTTAAAAGTATGGAAAATTTTTTGAAGAACACACACACAGGTATATATATATACACTATATTGCCAAAAGTATTGGGCCACCTGCCTTTACACGCACATGAACTTTAATGGCTTCAATATGGGTTCAATATTGAGTTGGCCCACCCTTTGCAGCTATAACAGCTTCAACTCTTCTGGGAAGGCTGTCCACAAGGTTTAGGAGTGTGTCTATGTTAATGTTTGAACATTCTTCCAGAATCGCATTTGTGAGGTCAGGCACTGATTTTGGGCGACAAGGCCTGGCTCTCATAAATTCATCCCAAAGGTGTTCTATCTGGTTGAGGTCACGACTCTATGCAGGCCAGTCAAGTTCCTCCACCCCAAACTCACTCAACCATGTCTTTATGGACCTTGATTTGTGCGCAGTCATGTTGGAACAGGAAGGCGCCATCCCCAAACTGTTCCCACAAAGTTGGGAGCATGAAATTGTTCAAAATGTCTTGGTATGTTGACGCCTTAAGAGTTCCCTTCGCTGGAACTAAGGGGTAAAGCCCAACCCCTGAAAAATAACCCCACACCATAATCCCCCCTCCACCAAACTTTACACTTGGCACAGTGCAGTCAGGCAAGTACCATTCTCCTGGCAACCGCCAAACCCAGACACGCCCATCAGATTGCCAGACAGAGAATCGTGCTTCGTCACTACAGAGACCAAATCTCCACTGCTCTAGAGTCCAGTGCCAGCGTGCTTTACACCACTGCATCTGACCCTTTGCATTGCACTTGGTGATGTAAGGCTTGAATGCAGCTGCTCGGTCATGGAAACCCATTCCATGAAGCTCTCTACGTACTGTTGTTGTGCTAATCTGAAGGCCACATGAAGTTTGGAGATCTTTAGCTATTGACTCTGCAGACAGTTGGTGACTTCTGCACACTCTGCGTTTCAGCATGCACTGATCCCGCTCTGTCATTTTACATGGCCTACCACTTCATGGCTGAGTTGCTGTTGTTCCCAGTTGCTTCCACTTTGTTATAATACCACTAACAGTTGACTGTGGAATATTTGGTAGCAAAGAATTTCATAAATGGACTTATTGCACAGGTGGCAAGCTACCACGGTACCACGCTTGGAGTCACTGAGCTCCTGAGAGCGACCCATTCTTTCACAAATGTTTGTAGAAGCAGTCTGCATGCCTAGGTGCTTGATTTTATACACCATAGGCCATGGAGGTGATTGGAGCATTGGTTGCATACAACTCTGAGATACAACAGGAAGTTAAGGCTAAAAGACTTTCATCTCCCAGGTGTTGTGATTCCAGGTCTGATCAGGAACCAGGTAGCTTTATAATACACAGCTGCTGTCACTTACTGCATGTTCTGCTCTGACTGAGGTCTAATCCCTAATCTATTTTGACGCTGTTGACTACCAGGTGATGAATTCTTTTGAGATATGCCTGAAAACCTTTCTGTTGTAATATATGTGAGTGTTCTGCATTTTTAAACATTTTTTGTGGATTCAATAAACGGGATTACACTATTAGCACCATTTTGCCTCCCGGGCTCGTTTTATATCGAGCCAACTAGGGAGGAGTGGATCCAGGAGTCTGAACGGCATTGGACCTTCTGGTGAGCCTGTGATGACCCCCAAGTGTGAGTGAC